AGAATACCAAGTCTCTCCAAAACAAACTATTGAAAGAATCAGTGTCACTATCTACTACATCATTCTAGTCATGAAATTTGCACCTCAACAAGGAACAAGGTACTACCAAAAATGATGTTTCTCCATACAACAAAGGTGAATATCGAATAGATTTAATATTGACTATTGGCTTGTGAATTGCGAAAAGATCAACGAGTTGCTATATATGAATTTAGACAATGCATCTAATCTTGAGGCTGAAGCTCTTTTTTTGACTATCACTTACGTCAAAAGAGTGAGATCTCTTGATGCTTCAGTATTCCTCTTGAAGCTTTGCAAGCCACACGTCCCAAAGAGTGGTTTGCAGATGTGGTGACTTGGTCTTTGAGGTGGAATGTGACGGAACTCGATTAGGATTTGCAACCTATTGCCCTTCGTGAGCGTATCAAGGAGGAATTTTTCAGCATTATGTGGAACAGACGAGGCACCAAGATGGAGTTTTATCAACTTCATGTGAATCCTATGCTCGTTTATTGTGAGCAAGGATAGTTACTTGCTGAGATATCTACTTCTTTACGTCATATTATTGCTAGGCATAGAACAGGATCTCATAGTCTTGGAATTGAAGAAGAGCATTGGTTGAACATTGATAGGAGTGAACGTATTTGTAGGCTATGTGATGGTAAAAAAGTTGAGGATGAAGAGCATGTATTTCTTACTTGTACTAGATATGTAGAGATTAGAGTGACTCATAATATAGATGTAGAGAATTTTTATTCTTTGTTACAGTTAGTTCCTTTTGATTTAGGTTGTTATATTAGGAATATTATTAGTTATCGTTCTAGTGCTCTTGGCACTAGCTAGGGATTGGTCTTTGGGGTCTTTTTCCTTGTTTGTGGCTGTCGCTTGTATTGTGTTTTTCAGCCTTTTGACCCTTTGGGTCCCCCGGGCTTGATCTATTACCAATACCATTACCATCCATATAATGCGTCCAATTTTTGTCGTTCTTGAACTTGGCGAATATGTGAGTCTCATCGACTGCTCCAAAATAGAATTGATTGTCGTCAATCATAAAATTGTTGAAGTAGTGATGCCAGCACGAACGCACATGGTCATTGAGTGAGCCGCTCATAACGGAAATGTGTCATCGCACTCCGCGTTGTTGTCGTGAGTCATAGCCGATGCTGCCATGGTCGTGAAGATAGTTGATTCAAGTGTCGTGACAGTTGCCACTTTGTCAAACACCATGTTGCGAACGCGGATGGGATTGCAAATGCGGTACGACATTTTTCCGAGCTCGTAAACAAGAAGCACTATCGTTGTACTTTGATCATCAAGTTTTGCTAATTGCGTCTTCATCACCTTTGTACAACACAATCACAATAAATCAAATACACAACGATAATAAACATTAGGCTTGTAATCATGTCATACCTCGTAGGATGTCTTAAAATTGACGTTCTTTGTCGGCAAGCGGTTGAAAAGATAGACTGCAATGTTCACCGCCTCACCTCAAAAACTTGTTGGCACATCCCTCGCTTTCATCAAGTTTCTTGTCATCTCGACGATAGTCTAATTGTGCCGTTCCACGACGTCCTTTTGTTGTGATAAATACGGAGCCGTGAATTGCAGCTCAATGCTCTTGTAGGCGCAATATGTTGTAAATTTTTTCATTGTGAACAGTTCATCGCGGTCCATGTGAAGAAGCCACAGCTTATGTCATTTCTCCACCTGAATCTTGACTTTTAAACCTCTTATCGCTGCTTCCGCCTTGTACTTTGTGGTGAGCAATGTAAATCATATAAAGTGGCTAAGGTTGTCGACGAGGAGAAAAAAAATAGCGGCTTCTTCTCCTTGCAACCTTGACAAGGTTTGCACGTTGTTCTCTATTGTGCTCATGTCATGATGCCTTGCAATCTCTAGAAAAATATACTAAGTTGTTGCAGTTGAAACACTTCACATGCAACATGTCACGTTCAGGCTTGATGTTATGCCAAACGTTGTCATGTGCACAAGGTTGCATCACGTCATTGCCAACGTTCGAACCAGAGCCTTACCCAACTTCACATTCATTCCTTCGTGCATCCCATTCTTCCTCAGTGAGAAAAGCTTGATGCCTTCACTTTGCACGTCTAGGCCGAACATTTATCCGACATTGCGGATGAACGCTCAATGAGATCTTTCACCATCACGGCATCCATATCGAACATCGTTTCTACCAAACACGCCATCTGCATTGCTGAGTTGTTGATTCTTGTATGCAATCTACCCCCATACACATCACTTTGATTGTTTCATATGCCTCTTTGGCTGTCTCTTTGACAGCGACATCGTCCATCATCCCCGGAAAAGCCATTCAAATGAGTGCGGAGAGCGTGGCCATATAGTTGCGGTCGCTTCTATCGTCTTCATTTCTTATGACATCCCAAAGTCTTGAAGCCTGCAAATTGATTTTCATCACCAACATTCACTCGATGTAGTTTGTGAATGTTAGCGTCAATTATACAATGATGTTGCCACATCCTGATTCCCTTATGACGCACCATTGTCACCCTTTTTCACCTTGCTCTGCTGTCATCTTTGCAATAACGTGCGCAAGTCAAAACATGCCTTGGAATTAAAGAATCCATCGCCCGATCGTTGCTGCCAACCTTGATGCCATGGCCTCTTCATGAAGCTCTTATACAAGCAAACCTAAAGTGAAAAACCGCTAACACAAAAAAATATTAAACTTGTCATGTTTTGCGCCGCGTAAAAATGTAATTTTTTTTTCTCTGTGTGTGGAATGGACCCGCCACGATAGCGCCATCCCACTTTGTTAAAGTTGGACGCGAGAAGAATGGCCTATTCTATGCATGAACAAAAATGTACCGCTAATATTATACTATCATTTACATAGTAACGATGAGATATCTTAATGCTTCTTGCCTAATTTAGCTTTGGGATCAATATGTTCCATAGAATAATCAATAGTTATGCTGACTTGGTCTTCAAAGTGTAATGTCACAGAACACTATCGAGATTCACAATTGATGACACTACGCGAGCATCTGTAGAGTTATTCCTCAACATTATTTGGGCACCAAAATAGAGTTTTCTAACTTCATGTTAATCATATTCTTGTATATTGTGAACCTGTATATCTAGCTGTGGAGATCTCCATGTTATTCGCCCTCTTATAGCGTCACATAGAATCTTTTCTCACAGGGTAAGAATTGAGTAAGTACGATGGTTTAATATTGATAGAAATGTAGAAACTTGTAAGTTATGTGACGTAATAAATATTGAGTATGAAGAGCATGTGTTTGTTATGCGTCCAACGAAAGAAGAGATTAAACTAACTCATAAGATAAATGTGGTAAATTTTTATTCTTTGTTACAATGCCTCATGAATTAAGTTGTTATATTTGGGACATCACTCATGTATTCATCGTTCAAGTGGTGTAGGCAACAATTAGGATAAGTATTTTTAACGTCTTTTTACCCTGGATGAATGAGTTGTAAAGTGTTTTAGAACTTTTCGCCCTTTAGGTTCACGGACTTATCCAAGATGAATGAGTTGTAAAGTGTTTTTCGATCTTTTCGCCCTTTAGGTTCACGGACTTATCCAATTAACATTTGGAATATTAAACATCTTCAAAATAAAAAGAATTGTTATTACTTGTTGAAAATCGAACTTCATGTTTTAAATTTAGGTCGAACGCTGAAGTAATCCTATGGATTCGATACTTACAATTAGAATTGATAGTGGAATGATCACACATCCTATGCATTTAATTCGATCTTATGTGAGTATAGGAATAGAGAACGTCGTATATCATTCTTTATCTAACGTCTATGGGTCTTGATACGATGAATACAACGATACAGGCTATGACTCGAATTGTAGATGGGCCCCTTCATCGTTTATCCAAGACGGTGATGCACATTACTCCCGAATCATAAGTAACTTCCCGTGACTAACGTATGTTCTTCAAAATTCGTGTGGATTTTTCATGTTTCCAGACAGTTTCTGCTGAGCTTTCTCACAAGTATCTTCCACATACGGACGACGTCAGCTATTCAAAGCAATTGAGTTTTATTACCCTTCTATGATTTTTATAAGTCGGGTGCAATTGTTTCTCCCTTCAGATGCTCTGTCCACAAAATCCATGTCTCCTCTCTTTCTTGTACTATTGATCAGACTGCAACATACCAAACCTGAAACCAAACGTATCCTCAAAAAGAACCTTCTCAAAACTCCGGAAATTTAACACAAGATAATGCGCACATTTTATATCCCTGGAATTTGTATATTACAGATACCGCAAGATGCAAAAAACAAACACATGAAAGGCATAGGGTGGCGTGCAAAAACAACATGTGGTCATATCAGCTTGAATAAGGCGCTTTCATACAAGAAATCACAGCTGTGGTGTCCGACATCTCGTCTTAATAGAAGAAGCAACGAACGTTCTCCGTACCCTGCATAATATACACAGCCCTTCTATACGGTACCAGCACACTTTAAAAACAGCTTAAATGATAGAACGACCGTTAGGGAGAATCGCGGATACAGATGATCCGTAGTCTGAGTATTCGAATCAGCATATCTGACAATATCTGTGTAGAGATGAGCAATGAGCTGTGAAATGAGCTGTGTACAATGAGCTGTGAAAATCACAAGGATAATATGCAACCTACAACACATGAGTTCGACCGCCAACTCATCATGTTGGGGCAGATAGTACAAGTGCCTAAATCTCTGTATGCTTCACGTCAACCACTCGCTCCCAAGTACCCCGTGGAACGTCTCAGCATTCCTTGAAACCGAGCAGGCGGTTGTAAGAAAATTCAAGACGGTTACAGTAACCGTCACAGGTTTCTGTCAGCGCTCCGAGGTGCAAAGGAAATAATACTCGCAATACAAAGTTCGCACCTTCATAGGCAAACACTCGCGGCTGCGACGGAATGTTTGTCATATCTTATACGATCAACAAGAAGTTGAGCTTGCAAAAGTATGCTTTATAGTACATCAAACTAGAAAATACTTCATCTCATTTGTAATACTGCATACTGAACTCCGGGTACATCATCCGACACTAGGTGACATTCTTCGCCTCAAAACGCAAAAAGCATTTAAAGATGCCATAATGGGCACTTAATACACACCTGGTGCATGTAGAAAGAAAGCTTTTCACAAACCACAGGATAAAATGGTTCTAGAATACAGCATGAAAAATCGGTGTTGCAAGACTGGCAAAGGCCCACTGCCCACGGAATTTGCATAATCTAGATGAAGGCCATACCTGATTCTTCGAGGAAATAAAACTTTGAGAATATCGTTCTGTGGCACATTCCAGCTAGTACTTATGATGTGGTCTTGCAAAACCACCGATAAATTGTCACAGGCGATTCTAATGATAATTGGCCTGACGACGTTCGAAATAAATTACTGACTGACTTCTTTCAAAGTAACCTCAGTTCCATGGAAATCTGGTAGGCATTTGTGGACCTGCTCATTTAGATTACATAAGCATCACTTTGTAACTGCACTTCTTGTTCCAACTCTTCCGCTTCCTTACTCGGTATGTCCAGTAGACCTCTCAGCTGCAAAATCTTTCCGTAATCCAAGGGATAACCATCTAACCACACTTTCAAAACTCCCCGGTAGACCTGCAATAACTGCTAAAAACATGCTGATCAGAACATATGCTGTTTCAGCCTAGTAACATCTGTAAAACGAAGGGGCTATGGCTACAGAACAAGGACAAAACATAAGCAAGGTTTCTCTCCACCTCGTTCGCTGAGTAGAAGACTACTACTAAGATGACTACAAGAGTAGTTTACTTCCAAAAAAGTAACACTAAGATTAACATCTAAACGAGCGTCAGAACAAGCCAACTGGCCCAAGAACGAAGAATGGGCATCGCAGTAATGTAATAGCTTCCAGATGAAAGTTGCAGAGTAAATATCCTACAGAACATGAATCTATCGAAGTTCACGGTAGCTGAATAGAATAGAAGCATGTCTTAGGTTCCATCCAGCAGACATCTAAGGGCATCTTACCTCTCCTTCGTCAAAAAAATCGGACTCGATGCTTGTCCTTGCCAATCTATTTTCTTCAAGAGCAAGCTCCATCTCAACTGTACATCTGCTCAACAAAGACAAACAACAAGAAGAACCACCGATTAGTCTATATCCAGGTTCAGGTAGACATCACAGCTACCACAATGGATCAGGTAAACGTCGCTTGCTTCTGTAAAAATAACAGCCTACCAGTAGGCTACAAGATGTAGCATACCGTAGAACTCTGTGTCTGTACTATATGTCGTGAAGCCTAAGCTAACGCAATGTAACTTACAAGTACATCCATTGTCAGTATGTCTTTGGAAAAAGGCCAACAATACAAACTCCTGCTACTTCTTGGAACAATCAAATTCCTCATGAACAACAATATGGTTTAGCAAATTATGGCCTTGAAGACACATGCAGAATAAACTCTACCCCTCATACCATTTGAATTCGGAGATAATGGAAATGTCCTGATCGCTATTCAAATTTGCCAAACATAATTCTGAAGGGGAGACACGATACTGGTTCGAACGAATATGAATGCAAAAAGGGGTTAGCTTAAACCAGGTCAATTCCCCCAACTTGAACCCAGAGCATAAAATTAATTTTTCTATACAATATCACTGCAAACAGCAAGCAAGTATTGTCTTTCCTAACTAATCGCAACAAGATGACGTGATATTCAAACCAAGAAGTAGCAAAGAAGCAACAACGTACTTGATCAAATCATTAGTACGGACCGCAGCCAGCGCTTCGTTCACTAGAGCAGCCTGTGTCACCGAAGCTTTAGCCCTTTCATACTGCTCAACCATGTCGGGCGCAGGTGGAGGGGTGACCAGAGTTTCTTCAGGTGAGACAAGAGCTTTCCGAGCATACTGTTCCGATTTGGTTATAACCCACAAAATCCAGGCGCCAATTGATAGAAGAATGCCGCCGGTGATAAAGCTAGACACTTGAGACCTGCAATATCAGCATAGTTCCGTTACACCATGGAAGCCCTCATCAATGGAGCGATGGTCTCAGACATGACAATTCGCACGGTTCAATTTCAGGGCCCAAACCTTTCAGGTATTTGCACTGGCGGCCGATATGTCTGTGCTGAGATGGCCGCAATAAAAGCAGTACCGGTCGTGGATGGAGTGCAGGTTTGGTGCGAATCTCCTCCTTCAATGGTTTCTCTTCTTGCCACAAAACGACGTGCCTGCCGAGGGTTCCACGCTTTGCCTACATCAAAAGCCTCGCATTGTCCAGAAGGCACGTCGTTTGTCGCTGTCGGAAGATCGTCGAATTCCTGGAACTTGGCTGCCGTTGCGTGCCAAGTTCGGTGGCGCCACCCTCCAAGAGTAAGTCCAATTATACCGCTTCGCGATTTCAAGAGAATTTTTGAACGCCTCTGAAGTGCCCGATTTTGAATATCAGGCCTTCTCCGTAACAACCTCCAGCTACCAAAAGGTGAAGGGCTTTGCGCTGCTCGAGCTTCAACCACTTCCAAAACTGTGGAATCTAAAAAGTGAGAGGAGACTTCACTCGATCTATGTGTGCCAGAGAGGTTCGCACAGCTGCGTCGCGGCGCACATGAAGGACTGGCAGAAAGTCCGCTGCGCGGTCTATGGATGCCATCCCTTCCTACAATCTTGCAAGGAGTAATGGCCTCCATTCCTACTTCCGCATATGACACAAGTCCCTGCAAGGACAAGAACAACGCAGAAGCAGATGAGTGCAGATGAATGCGTGCATCTTCTTCACGACTTGACAAAATCTTCCAACTTGCTGGCTCGTTCAAATTAGCTCAGCTTTCAGGGTTTAGGGATCTCTGAAAGACACCGACTCACGCACAACTTTGAATCTTCAGACAGAGCGCTCCGTGCCAACATACGAAGAAAGCGGATCACGCAGGTGGCATGGGCTTCAAACCATCTCAATCACAAATTGTATCCTCGGAGACAAGCGAGTACCCAATTCGTCGGAAGCTCGGAGAGCTAGCAAATCAGTAAAATTCTTTGTGCCCCAAGGCAAGACCAAAATGCCGTCACCAGCAGATGAGAATGCTGGGTCAGGGACGATCCAGAATTTGCGACACAGGAATGTCCATCGGACGCTCTGCACATGGGGGCACGCGCGGCAATACCTGGAGGAATCAGCAGCTCGCTAGCTCGGCATTCCGTCGCGCCGAAACCTCGGTGGAAGAGGAGGAGTGATCAGCCACGGAAAGTCCTCGAATCTGGAACTCGCCCTCGTCGGGCAGGACCAGTCCGGGCGCGATCACTCACTACCTTGCAGCGAGCGACCATGAGAGAATTGCAAGACCGCGCATCGTACCGAGTTGAGAAGGCATTCCGGGAAAGTCTATTTTGAGAAGTCGTGCCACAAGCCCACGGGGATTGGCCAGCACGGTTGAATTCGAAGCTTGGCTGCGTCCAGTGTGCTATCTACTGCCATGAATTGCACGCCCGGCTTGTCGATCCTGCTCCGTGTGGCGGTCAGATGCATGCATCTTCGGGTTCCTGCTGCCGAACTGTTGAGTCCACCAGTCCAGACATGAATAATTCCTCCGACCATTCTTCTCCCCCCCCCCCCACCGTTTCCCACGAACTTTCCTCCCTTGGCCTGCTGAAGATCATTTCCGCATTCTGGTCAACTGTGCAGTTGAAATGGCGTCCCTCTTGATTTATTGACGTTTAAAATTTAACTAGATAACGAATGTAAACACTTCCTTCCTCAATTGATTATACTATGCGATTGTGCTGATCGCATGGTACGCTATTTTTATTTGAAGTGTACATAATTATCAACATCGCATAAAGTATTTTGCTCTATCCGAGCTACAAAAAGTCAAAACTCATTGCGCAATTCATGTCACACATTTTTTGAGAAAAAGAAAAGATTCGAAAAGAAGCTTCTGATTGTACGCAAAACTGCATATTTATTCTCTCTCAACACTTTGAAAGATCTTACCATATATTTGTATCTGAACTCTTTTGAGTTCTTCTTGTAGTCATTTTTAGTTAAAAAAAATAATACTCATTGCTTGATATTATTGAGTTCAATAAAAATAAACCATTAAACCTTTAGTTATGATTGATATTATGTCACTCAATATTAGATTGAAATTGTTTATGATGTACAAAATGTTGATATATATGTGATCACATGAAAAACTGTAATAAAATAATATATATAAGGTGAAAAATGTATCATTTCATTTATTTTAAAAGATAATATTTGTTTATCAAATTGATGTTATTGGAGCTAGTAACCCACATGCTTTGTAGTTACAAATAACCCATATCAATCAAGATCAAAAATTATAGAGAATGATTTTAGTAGAAAATCATAATATAATTATTGCAGGTCATGTGGGAGAGAAAAAATTCTTGGAATTCATACCAAAAATTAACTATTGATTCAGATTATATGAATTTGTGAAAATCTATGTTTGAAGTTGTATTGCTTGTAAAAAAAATAAGCAAAACCAATTGATTTGTTAAAACTTACTTCTATTTCAAAACAACAATGAGATATGTCATCATGAATCTCATATGTAAATTATAAAAAAATTGTTAGCTTATGATTAAGTGATGATTTTTGTGTACAAATTGAACAAGATGATTCATATTAAATCAAACACAAATGCATTAACAAATTCAAAATTGGCTCAATCATATTTACATGCACTCTTGTGGATCATGGTTTAAGCAAAGTTTTAATCATTGAGAGATGTACAATACTCATTTCATCACATTTTGACTAAATATATTAGATTTTGAAAAACTTTGTTTAGTTTTTCCAAAACAAAAAGAGCAATGTGAGTTGTCTATCATTTTCAAACTCATGTACAAATGAAAAATACCAATAAAATTGTAAAAATATGATAAGTACATCCATGTTAGAAGAGCAAGAAGTGAAAACACACTTTTGATTCTTGTGAAATTTGCTTAAATCAATAATGTTAATGCGTCTACAAAGATATCTTCACTTTATTTCATGTATAGTGTTCATTTCATAATTATTTTGAGTTTGGTGAGACTTTCAAAAGGAGAATAGTTTTTTTTATCAAAGTTGCAACAAATTTGTGAATCAAATTCATAAAAAATTATATCAAAACAAATAGAATTTTCTGTTTATTCAAAATTGATAATGACATCATCCAGATGCTCATTGTAGAGAGTTGAATTTCCAAGTAAAGTAGTATATTTGAAATTTTACAATAAATTATTATTTTTTCCAGAACATCAAAGTCAAATCCTAGATTCATTAGTACTTTTTTTATTTTGAAACATGTTGATGGAATGCCTTACAAGTTGAAATTTCCATCATATATGAAAATATATCCAACTAACATCATACTCTCTATCAATCTTGATAGCTAATCATGATAGATTTGAGTTAAAAAATATACTCAATATATACATTTGAGATTATAAATATTCCAAAATATAGTTTAGTTATAGTTATACTTATTTTAGAATGCACTAGTCATGACAATTATGATGAGTGCATGTGTACTTGTTAGATAAGTATTGAATGTGTTAGTTGAGAGTGACACATTAACCATGTGTATGCTTGTTAAAATTATTCGTCATGTCATCCATTCATTGAGTGAAATGTATAGTGTAAATAATATCTTATTTTGTTGTATTTGTTAGTAATAGTTATCTAAGGGAAGAAGAAACTCATTGGTTGAATGTTTCTTTTCAAAATTTATATGTTTTATTTTTGAATGAGCTTTTCTCTAAACCCTAGTATTACATGAATTATCTATAGATGCCACAGATAGAGTGACTGGTAGCTAGAGTATAAATATGTTAATTAATAACCATATTTGAACAATCACTGTGCTTGTTATGTAAAGATTGAGTATATTAGTTAAACATGACATGTTAACAATCCATGTACCATGTTATCATATACTATAATTAAATTTAATGATGTTAAGTATAACTTATCTTTGTAAATGTGTTTGAAAGATTTATATAAGAATAAATTTTTTGATAAATTTTATATAAATTTCAATCTATGTATCTCTCATTTTTGGAGTTGTGTTTAATATTTGAGTGAATTTACTCTTAAACCTTAGTCTCATATTGATTTTCATCTTTAAACATCAAATCTTCATTCTCATGTTATGTCAATCATACTAACTAAAATAATGATGTGCATGTATCTAATTCCAAAACTAAGGTTTGATTCAATTCACATCCCAATCTTAACAATAATTTGTCATATCTTATGTCTAGCACAATTTGCTTTAATTTATTCCTACTTGATAAGGAAAGTAACACAAATGAAAATCACACCCACTTATCAATGCGATCAAATGACATTCAATATAAAAGCAATGCATTCAATGAATGTTTGATGGATTATGCAATAAACTTGGATAAATGAAAGTAGTCTCAATAAACGATAAATTGAAAAGTATTAAAATCGTAGATCATTACCATCATCTTTTTAACATAGATGAAACACTTAAAGTAACTAAACAAAGTGGTTTTTTGTTTTCAATCATGATCATTTGTGAAAAGTCTTGTAATGACCAGAGTAGAAAAATTCCCAAATATTGAGAAAAGAATATTGAAATTCCCAAATATAGAAATATTGAGAAAATTCATCATGTAGGATTTATTTTTTGTTTTGAAGATTTCAAAGTTTCCAATGTTTTAAGGTATTTGAGGTGTTTTTATTATATTTAGTCATCTATGGATTCTTCTCTTAGCCTCCTAGATGGAAATGAAAATTAGTAGAAAGGGAAGACTTTTTTACAGCCTAGCACTATCAATTTTTGTTGTAATATGTACTAACCTCCCTAATGATACCGTATTAACAAAGCATATGAAGCTTTTTGCAACAAATAGGTTCCCACGCAGCTCACCTTGCAAATCCGCAATTCTGAAAATAGTGGATGAAAACTTCTGTAGAATCAATAATATTTGAATGCAAAGACCAAAAACTTAGAAAATTATCAAACTTGATGAATTTGCAGATTTGAGATGTGTTGCAAGGAACTGGTCTGCTGCCATAAATTTTACTAGGTTCCCTTTATGGATTTCAGACAATGTTCACTTGTAACGCCAAAAAAATCTCAACGCTAACGGTGTGTTTTGAAACCCCCGACTGCATTTCAATCATTGTGGCTCGTGCCAGGGGCCAAGTGGATAATCAATATGGAGCAAGGGAGGAATGATGGGACGTATTTCTCTCCTTCAACGAGGAAATTGGATCGAGATTGACCTACTTGGACATGCATGCGTGCTTTCGACAGATCTAAACGAGGGAGACGAGAAGCGTCGAACAATATCGATCGGAGATCTAAACTAAACTGAACATACAAGTACACAAGACCCTTGGATTGCATGGATGCCTTCTCCACCTACCCCTTGTGGAATGTCCAATCCCCACCTACAGGCCTGGAGTTGCCACAGGCAGTTTGGGTTACTAATCCAATTGGTTAGGGTTATGATGAAACCAAATTTTTTTCGCGGTTTAGAGATATGTTGGTCCTGTGTCATTTCGATACTCCTAATTTCTATTCTGTGAACGGTGTCGTTCGTTTTGTTGTCCGTCGAGGCCTTCTGTATTGTAGTGAGAGAGTGCACTTCGCACTGCTGCAGCGGCAGCAGTGCGAAGAAAACTCATGAGACGATGGAGAATCGCAGTCGCGGGCATTCTCTTTCGGATCACATCTGTGTCGGCTCAAAGAGCCGCAGGTGCGCTCCGCCGGGATGGAGTCTCCGGGCGAATAATGTTCTCCTGAGCTCGAAGCTCTCAGAGCAAAGCGCGCGGTCTTCGATGCACAGGTTCGAATCACGGACCTGACTCCAGCAAGCCAAAGGACGAGAAAACCTAGAGCGAATTTACACGAGCCACCTGTTGCCAACCGTGTGTTGCTTGCCTCCTTTCTCGCTCGTACTGGCACCACGGGCTACGGGAAATGGCTCGGTCTCCAGTCTCGGAGGTCGACGCTGCCTAGTCCTATTCAACGAAACGGATGCCCTCACGCCAAATCTCGGCTCTCGTGGTCGTCGGTCGTCCCACAATGGCAGGCCCGGATTGTATTACGCAAGACGTTATACCGGTCGTCTACATACAGAATTGTTGTACTGTAACCCACTTAAATGGCATGTCGGTCAAATGAGTGACTGATGAGTGAACTCGATGACCGATCCGGAGCGAGCATAAGATTGCCCACGGGCTCGTCGTCGTCCACAATCGTATTCTTGCAGCGAACGCGGATGATTCGAAGCACTTGCCCGGACTATTAGGGTTGGCCTAGACGGAGCTCGACCGAGCAGAGAGTGACTGGAAATCGGGACCATCATCCGCTCGCGGCGACGCCACAGAGATATATTCTTCAATGCGTGCCTCGTCCGGGATCGAGGAGGAGGGGCCTGTCTTGGTGCGCGCTAAAAGCTTGAGGGAACACTTGCAAATGGCGGACGAGAGTGCGGTACACAGTCGGGACACAGGAGGAGTTTATCACGAACGCCAGCGTCTGCAACTCTGCCTCCTGCACGCGTTGAATAATCTGCTCCAGGGCGAGAATGCTTTCACACGGAAGGAGTTAGATGACATTGCCGATAGATTGCCGGCAATGACTTCCAGCAGTGAGAGATGGCGTCCGTGGTCTCTGATCTTAAAGCGACATCGGAACTCGCTGACCGGGGATTACGACGTGAACGTCCTAATCGCTGCTCTCGCCAGTAGACAAAAAGACGTCAAATGGTACGATCGGCGAAAAGGTGTCCAGGGCCTGAATGTCGATGAGTACGGAAGCCAGCTCGTAGGAATTATAGTGAATGTACCGAGCAAAAGATTTTGGAACTTGTGGACAGGGCGGCATTGGGTGGCTCTCCGAGCAGTGAATGGGCGTTGGTACAATTTGGACAGCGATTTTCCAACTCCCAGAGCTTTTGCACATGGGGAAGCGGACCTCAAGAAGTATCTGGAGGCAGTGTTCGCGGAAAGCGGTGAAGTTCTGATTGTTACCGAGGGAAAAGCCGATGGTGCGTAGTGAGGGCCATCCTGGAGTTCAACAACTGATTATCTTTTGCACTATTCTGAGGATTTAGGTTAGCTCTTGGACGACGAACTGGACGAAAAATCTTACGGGGATCATCGCTCCCATCGTGTGTAACCCGAAATCGAACATTTTGAGATTCTTGCTTCAGGCAATCGCAGGAATTACATGTCTAGAGCAATACACAGAAAGAACTCTGCAGAGCATCGCATTCCTTGTGTAGGAGAGGCGTCGGCGGCCAGTAGTTGATTGCTCTCTCCATTGCTCAGAGAAAACCATGTGATCTAATCTTCTATTTCCTTTATAAACCAGAGTTTTGCACCGGGTGAAGTAGAGAATGGCTTAAACCCCCGTCTGATTGTGGAATCACGGTTTCTTTCTTCGTTATCGTACAATTTCAGGGACAAAGATACGGGAGTCGTTGCTTTCTGATCAGCAATTGTTGTAAATTTGAACAAGCTGAGTGTTCGTTTTTCGAATAGTGATTTTTCGAAAGTATTTAGACCCGCACTTGTTTTTGTCCTGTGGCTGGACCTTCGCATCAGTAGCGAACGCTGCACAAGAGTTCAGAGGTTCTAGTGCTCCGTCGTTTCAGTTTCGTCTTCTCCCCTAGGCTCAAGAGACCAGATTGAGGCGATGAGACATACCAAATTCCGACCAAAATAATGCACCGGAACTTTGGCTGACGCAGAAGTTGACAAGGATTTTCGCTCCTTCGCTAGCACACCCGTTGACCAAAACGCTGGTACCCCGAGGCTCTGTAATTCAGTGCTGGATGTACACACCTCATCACGAGGATATTCCTCCTTCAGACGACTCAGACCTTTTTTTATGGTCAATGCGGATCCCACTCGATGTCCACTCGAGTGACCGTTATTCACAATTCACCGCTTGACCGCACTCCTCTGTATGCAGTTCTTAAAATCACCCTAAGTTGGGACTATTACTTCAGCTGAACGGTGTTGTGTTGCTTGAAGTCTGAAAGCTGGTAAATTGCAATCTCTTGGGGCTATGTTGTTGATACATCTCACGCTCTGATACGGCTGCAGTTCAAAGCTTAGAGTTGAAATGGACTCGGATTCAAGGCACGTCTGTGTTTAATCTTTGATCCGCAATCGATCCAGTTATATCGTGCCGACCGATGACATGATCATGTGCCAATCCTTCTGAAGAAATCCAGTGTTCATCTGAATCTTCACAGCGAACCATATAGAACAAGTTGTGTGTTTGACAGAAACAAGTATGACAGAATTCGTTCATACTGACGTGACAAAATCCACAAAAAACCAAAAGACTTGTTGGATATGACGAGAATATATGGATCCACCGCTGCTTCTGGTATGAAGGGAAAACCACCGAGGCGGATAGCTAGCTCTGCAAAAACAGAGAAAGCCTACATTCATCGGAAATTCTAACTGTTCACATTCCATTCTACTCATTGATAAAGCAATAAAAGTGCAACTGGTATTCATGATGTTGAGATTGAAAGAAATAGAGAGATAATTGTTCAAGCCAGTGTAATATACAAAGAATGAAGAGAGTGATATAATACATTTACTTAGAGTACATTTGGTGCACAATCCCAAATGACTCCAAACTCTAAACTCCTTACTCTAATCTAGAAACCTTCCGTATAATTTAGCCACTTCAATCCTAATTTTACTGTCGTCCATATTAGAGAAACGCCACTTTATCTACCCATGCCACATGTTCACCATAAGGTAATACAATTCTCACACTTTTTTTTCCCCATTTCACTCTTTGTTCTTAATTTAGCTCAATACTATTTACAATGTCATGATTACAAGCTACTCTAAACTCCAACATTCCCACTTGGGAAGTAGTTGTATTATTTCAAACCCGATAACTTTACCAAAAGTTGATTATTCCTTGCAAGTCAACAAATTATCCTTTGGACAAAAACTCAAGCTTATTTCACCACTCTCCAACTTGTCAGGATTGAAATGAGGTTTAACATCAATGTGGTTTATGAGATATTAGTGTGAAGTTCTTTGCAAGTGCAATGCATACTTGACTATCAAACATGATGATAGATGCATATACTTGAACACATCTCATTCCACTTACAATCTTGCAATGCCAAAAGTCTTCTTTGATGCTTTGGCTAGTGATCATGTACTCTGACTCCATTGAAGACAAGCCAAATGTTGATTGTCTTTTGCAATTCTAAAAATGGCACCATCTTTTAGAAAAAACTCTTATGCCATTGTTGGATGATGTTTGTTGTCGTTAAGTTGTTGGACGATTTTTCAACTCCATGTTTGTGACGCCAAGGTACTTTGCAACATGATACGTTGTATTGCGTTTGAATGTGATGTATCAATCCCAGACATGAATCGGCTCGCCATGTTTACTACAGATGAAAGATCAGGTCGTGTAGTCACCATGTCATACATCAATGATCCAACCTCATACTTGTATGAGTATACTTTCATCTCACATGACTTCAAATAGTCCAACAAATGTTCGACCATTTGTTTTCATAATAAATGAGTAATGATCCGTTGAAATCTTGTGAAATGCTCTTTGATGAAAAAGTAGTCAATACATTGGTGTCATGAAGACATGATACCAATGTATTGACCACTTTGGTGATATTTTGATACCCTACGAGTATGATTAAGCTTGCACTCAAGATGCTTCAAGTTTTTTTCAAATTCTTGATTTTGGCTGTTGTAGATGTACTCTTCCAAATCATAATCCAAAAACGATCTTAACATCTATTTGATAAATTTCCAAATGCAAGTACGCCCCGAATTGTGTTTGGCCAAGATCAAGAGCAAACATTTCATGAAAGTGAGAGTATTCCCACAATTTGTGAGAATATTTTTGTCACCAATATTGCCTCGTGCGGCACAATTTTTTCGCTATCATCTTGCGCTATTTACTTTGCTAAAACTAATTATAGTTTTCAAGATGAAGATAATTTTAACATATAATTTACTATCTATTATTGTCATTCAATAATCTGTGTATTTAATAGGTAAAGAGTTTTAGTTGAAAATGACATGTTAGGAATTATTAATGTTTGTCACGTGTTTCCGTCATCTTCTCGATATGATATTTTATCTACTCTTAAGCGTTAAAAAGATAGATAGACAGACAAAAGTAAATCCATTCTAAATATCTCTAATCGTTAGAAATTATATTTCATCTTCGATGCAAATACTCTCTTCAATTGTAATGTCACATCAACTCTTTTGGAAAAATATCCACTTGCATCCAATGTTCTTTCTACTCTTTGGAAGGCAAATTAAATTTCACATTCCATCGATCACAAGTGAGTTGTCATACTTGTCTTGCATGACTTCATACAAACTCAATGTAACTTAAAGTTTTACCCCGGTAATCCGTTTCACTTGATGTTGAAGCAGGATGTGAAGCAGTTTGTGCTGTAACAATGCAAGGATTCTTCACGTGAGAATATGGTGCGCACTTGTTTTGCTTTCATACCAATGTTGCATCATTCCCACGACCATCTTTCTCCTTGGGCTCCGTCAGTTCATGCATCATGCTTGCTGTCACAAACTGCCTGGTAAGATCTTCAAATCGCAAGGTCTCCAAGCAACGGCAACATGCTCATCTCTCGCGGTCCATTGAGTAAATCTGCAATCTCCTTCACTTGGTTGATTTGGGTTAACTTGTCATCACATTCTTGCATCTCGATGGTAAAGTACATCTTGATGCGGCGACTGAAGAGGATGTTGAAAATCCCATTCGAACTTTCAGCTGACCTCGGCCGACTGTTGGGGCATTTTGACGCTTATCCTTCCACCATTGATATGTGACGAGAGAGCATGACACAGTTCTCTTTTGCTTGCATGATTCGCATCTGCTTCTGGGTACACAGTGTCGCCGTGCAACGATGCCAGATCTGGAGACTCTTACCGGGTTAGCGCTACGAGATCTACGTACGGAGAGACATTTTCCAAACAAGTTTTCTTGAAAAGTTAAGCTCCTACTACGCGTTAATCTTTTGGCAAGTTTGGATTCAGCACAATGTAGGAACGGGTTGATATTCGGTTGTTTGGATCTTTGCAATTCGAACGATTTACCCAAACATCATATTCGCATATTGCTTTTCGACGTGGTGAAATCTGAGGGTCGGACCTTTGCATGTGCCACTGCTTTCACTCCTAAGATGCTTGCCCGACTTGATTGTTAAGAGCCCACCAACACACACGACAGCTCATTTGGAACATAAAAAACCCTACCGGAGAATAATATCGAGATGTAAGTTCAAAATCTGATTGTGTGAGAAGAGTCTTAACCTTTGAGAATCAGTCACCGCATTGAGGCGTAATAACTGTCACTCTCCGACCTTCGAATATTGTCCGTGAAGTTGATTCATTGTGGCATCACATGATGAGTCCAGTTACTTAATTGAAGGAAATATACAGAGTAGATACATCATGATTCTTATTGTGTCTTTTTGGGAATGGGCTAATTGTCATTCACTTTACTTGTTGTGTCTTTTTGGAACGGTTAATTAGCCTTCACTCTACTATATGTAATTTTCTTATTGATCGATACAATAATTTTGTCCGCAAACCCAACTTCTTTTTCATATTTAAATATCTTTTATATATGATAATTCATCTTTATATATGATTATTCATCAAAATAATTGTAGAATGTTGAACAATCAAATAAAAAATTATAATAAAATGCGTGTTAATTAGTACAATTGTCATTCAATTAGGGTTAATTAACATTCACTCTACCGTATTTAATTCTTTGATTGATCGATACAGTAACAATTATAGAATGTTCGAACAATCAAATAAAAAATTATAATAAGATGAAGGCTAATTAACACGCATTCTACTATACCTAGTTCTGTATTATTGATAAAATAACAACTATAAAATGGTCAAACGATAAGATAAGAAGTTATTGATTGATAAAGTAACAACTATAGGGTGTTCGAAGAATCGGATAAGAATATCAGATAGTTCAGCTAGTTAGCTCTAAACTAACTAGCCCCTCCCGTCGTTTTAGGTACCAGGTTTACTACTTTATGTACACCTTCCAGTAGCGGCAGGTGTATTTGCCATGCCTTTGGTCAAACTTGAAGATATGCTGGAAACTCCGCAAGGACAATCAACCCTAAACGAACCATGCCGATTGCAGTACAAATCTCTGATCAAACCCCGTTCGTGCCTTCGCCGTTCCAACATTAGTTTGGTATCGGCTGGCTTTATTGCGAGTGATGGCTGCATGGTCGTATTTTGTGCAAATCGGACTCTTCGCGGTCAGAGACGATATCCATTGACATCAGTTTTCAAGACGGGGCCTTCTCTGACGACGTTCGGGACGATTTGCTTCAGCCAAGTCAGCATCTTCAAGGGACTCGGCACAGTACATTTTTCAACATCAATAGATGAAGTAAATAAGTATTTTCGGAAATTTTTGGACTTACATATGTTGAACAAATCGTTCTATTAGACCCGAGGGGTCCTTCGAACTTTACATAGTTTTCATCACTGGTAAACATTCATAAAATTTTCTCGCATCCTCCTTAAACGTGTCAAGAAATTGCTATTTCGTCTAGTGCTATAACATCACAACGACAGTCTACTTTTCCTCGCACTACTTTCGAAATTCAAGTGCAAAACCTACTGATCGACTCCAGCACTTTCATGCTCTTTAGTTCTTATGCACTAACACTGACAGCATCCAGAATACCCTTCCACCTTCCCCTTACAAATTGACACAGATTCCGCTCTGGGCAATAGTTGAAAATCGTTCAAAACTTGTGTTCCTCAGTCCGAAAACTGTCTAAACATACCTGAGGATGCGACCAATTCAACTCTTCCATTCGTATCCACTGGATGGATCCACGTTTCTATAAATCGTCTGCAATTGTATAATTGCAGACGATTTATAGGTAGGTAAATAGGTGGAATTTGCTTTACCGTGAAAAGCGAGATAGTACTTCAGTGAACGAATATACCTCCTTATTCGAAGAGATATGAACCATTTCTAGGCTCCGGGAAGGAATGTGACTGAAGGTGAAATCCTTCGCAATTTTTTTGAAGAGCTAGATACTTCAACTCTTTACGATTCAAGGGCCACTCGCAGTAAGCTATTGACAAGGTTAGGAGTATGTCCAAGCTATGCAACGATTCTGGAAAATCAATTTAGAAGAAAACACACTAAGGTGTTAAAAACGATTCTCAATAATTCTCTTTACTTACCTATTAGCATAATTTCGACTGGAAATTTATCAAATGTTCACAAGTGGCAAGCATTTGAGAGGAAAATTTATTAATCTCAAGCTACGACGATAACATGTATCATCATTACTTGTTCTAATAGCTTACCCTCCAGAAAGACAGTGGGAAGTGCATGAAAATGAATCTGTCCCCGACTATTTCACGAAGAAAGCGAGACACACGCGAGTAGTGCATGAGATAGGCATCTTTCACCGACATGTTCTAACTAGCAAAACATTCAATAGTGTCCTCTCATCGTAGGTGTAATCCAGACGAGCGTTGATGCGGCCTTTGCGGAAGGAAGTCTTTCCTCGCCTCGAGCTCCGAAGGGACACGTCCACGACTGTGCCACCCATTGTATGTTGATTTGTACAGATTGCTGAAGACTACCATCTCCAGAGACCTGCTCCAACGGATAGCATGCAAGGGTATGAAAAAATTGTTGCAAATATTACCCTGACCAAAGCTCAGATAACGATGATAAACTTGCTCAATTTCTGAATTCCAACTCATCTTTTTCGCCTTCCATATACAGGAACTTCTGTATACATTCGAGTGTCAAAGGAAAAGGACAGAAAGCTTCCTGTTCGCAGAACTCTTATAAAAAGCGATCGGTATTGTAAACCAGCAAGAAAACGTATCTAACGAGTCAAGAAAAACCCTCGCAATCTCCTATTCTCTGTTCAATCTAAATCACTGAGATTCATACGTGAATGTATAATGAGACAAAAAATCTGCAGTAAAAAATCTGGAGTTTGGGTTAGCTCGCTTGAATGTTAGAGAATTGAATCAGCGACACCAGCAGGGAGCCCCTAAAATTCGACAGTCCAATTGCACATGGACGGTGGACAAGTCGTTGCGAGTCTTGAGTGCACATAGCACAACTCTTACGCACCTTTCAGGCCATATAGTCATTTGGTAACAGAGCCCGTTTCATTGGTGGTGGTGATGGGCGCAGCCTTTGGGGCATCTGTGCAGATTTCCTGCTTCGGAAGGTTAACTCCGGGCCATCCCTTGCACATACAGGCCTGACCCTTGGGAATGTTCTCATAAACTGAAGGAACGTGCTTGCCGCAGCCAGCCCATGTGGTTAGGCTGCAAGTGGCGCACTTCACAGGGTAACACATCTTCGAACACTGATCTGATCGTTCGTCCCTTCCAACTGCAGGACTAGCTGACGTCGAGGCGAGCAATTCCGTGTCCGCAACAAATCGTTCTTCTCTGATGAGACGAGACGCGACGACCGCTGCACTTCGAATATGAATGATGCGCTTTATAATCCGTCACCCTCCCCTTCCTTCAGCACCCTCAGCCAATACTGTTTTGCTGGTGGGACGGCACCTGAGCCTGGCGATAGCGGAAGCTAGCGAAGTCGACGGTAGTCGAAGTTGGCGCTGGACCTTTCCCCAGCGGCGATGGTGTCGGAGTCTCCGAGTCTCCACGGGCAGCTTCGTGCCCGGGTCCAGCGGCCTCTCATCTGACCCTCGAAACCCTTTCTCCTCTATCTCTCTCTCTCATTCACTCACAGTCCTCGAGGCGCTGCTTCTCCGGTTCCTTCCGCGCCCTGCTTAGACGGCGAAGCGCGGGCCGTTGCTGACTACCTCATCACCTCCCGACTCTTGCTCGCTAAGCCACACACATTTACAATAATCCACGAAAACTATCCAACAAGGACACGAGGGATTCTCCGGTTGAAGATCATCTGCGATATTGTTCCAAGTCTTCTTCATACTAACTTCTCTATTTGACTCACTGTTGCTACAACTAGTATCAGTTCCTCCACTTTCAATTGGGAGAAATCGAAGTATGAAGTGGCGTCATTCGTACCTACGGAGTATGCATGTAGCCATGCCGAGTGTATCATTGTATGTTTTCATCTACGTGTGCAGATTTAAAGATACATATAACTCTCGTATATTAAAATGGCATTATTCGGGGGAGTTTGTCACATTTGTCATGCGAATGTAACGCAGACATAACTCGATCGGATCACAAAAGAAATTATTTCGTTCGAGGTGTATAAATGTGGTTGTGCCAGGGAATGAGTAGCATCCCAGCCATATTTTCCATCATAAAAGCTTTTCAAGGATGTGCTTGCATTGTTGGACAAACATCAAAACATATACGGAAAGAGCCATACAACAAAATCCACACGAGCTGTATATTTCACAAGTTACCACAAAGATAATTGATTGAAAAAACCTGAAGTTTGTTTCAATAAAGTATTACGATCATTTCTCTTGATTATCTTCTAACAATCTCCCTTTGATTCATATCTTGGTTCTCTGCTTTCTTTTATCAATATGGTTATTTTACAAAATCTCTATAGACTCAATAAACTCATCTTATGGTAGAGTGTACTGTTTGATTTCCATTGATGGATGTATTTGGTTAAGCTCATCAAAAATAACTTCTCATACACTCCCCCTATCTAAAAATCCCCTTCATCTTTATCATTTGTTTGTGTCACATGATTAAACCTAAAATGATTCAATTACTTCTCAACAATAAAGATGAGTAAAGATTTGTTCATGTCAATAGGAATAGTATGATAAATCATATACTCATTCAATGATCTGGAATTATTGAAATAAATGTTTCAAACAAAAAGATCATCTCATCTATAATCTTTCATATGATTTGCATATATATAAAAAAACATATATTACATGCAAGATCTGACATGATCATCTTATACTTAAATTTGGATAAAGCATGTTATCAAATCTACTAAGAAATCATAATTTATTATAATAGTCTCTACTTAAGTACGCACCTTGAGCCCTAAATTTTTCTGTGTACTTAACTAGGAGGTGCATATTTAACATTTTCATTTTCAAGAATTTTGCATAGACCTCAAGTGTTGAAGAAATCAAACACCGAATGTCTAAACGAGTCCCAACGATGTGAGATCATTTCAAATCTGAGAAAGTAAAACCCTCCAAGCAAGCACGCTTTAGCACGTGAGTATGAAATTAACAAAGGTGCTATAAGGAAAATATGAGAGAAATAAGATTTCATTCTCAAACGATCAGCTTTACTCTCCAAAGAAACTAGACATATTACCTTTAGAGCTTCATTTAAACGATTTTTTGAACTTGAAGATATGTTGTACACTTGGATTGACAGCATGTGTTGTGTCAGGCTTCCTATTCTGCCATCTCTAGCAATTGCAAAGACAAAAGGTATTGCTGCTACATTATCAATTTTTTGTTCAAATTTTAATGATTCATGGCAATGGCTTGATCGTTTTAGAACACGTCAAGGTCTGCAAAAAATGCTTCTCCATAGAGAAGGGGCAGAGGTTAACAAGAATGATTCTGGGTTACTATCAACCTTGGAAAGATTATCACTCAGTACAATCCTAAGAACGTGTACAACATGGACGAGACATGATTTTTTTTTGGTTTGCTTTTAAGATATTATATTCTTCTGCTGAACTAGTATTTTTCAACCACTGGAGTTAAATTTTTTTTTAAAGATCGTGTTTTTTTTATAGTTATTGCGAATGTTTTTAAATCACATAAAATTTTTTGCGTAATGATTGGAAAGTCAAAGAATCCAGTGTGTATCAAAGATCGACATTGGCCAATTCCTTATTTCAATCAAGCGAAGGTCTGCATGGACGTGAAAATCTGTTGGAGATGGTTCAACAAAATATTTGTTCCAGAAATCAAAAGACGAACATGACGTACTGTTCTTTTACTAATGAATAATGCGCCATGACACTTCAATGCTTTTGAACTTGACAACATCCATGTGATATTTTTCCTCCGAACTGTACCAGTTGGAAACAAGCTTGTGATATGGAAATTATTGCTGCTCTCAAAAAACGGTATAAATATTTATATATCAAGAATATACTCAACTTTTACGAGCTTGACGAAGAGTTGAAGGAGCAAAAAAGAGAATTGGGAAAAAGATTACAACCAGTTACATTTGTTGGACACTACAAGCTATGTGAAAGACGTTTGGAATTTGGTCTCGTCAATTTCTATAAAAAAATACATTGTTTAGTGCAGAGCTCATGAATTTGGACTTGAATCAGGAGTTAAGAGCGAACTTAGTATGATTGTCGCTGAATTAGTTAAAACCATCAACAACTTAAATTTATCGATAAACCAATCAGATTTGGAATTTTTTTTCACATTGACGACAAAAGCAATGAAGAATATGCTGGAGCATTGCTAAAAATTTGATGAGGATTGATGAAGCAAATCTTGATGACAACGATATTAATTTATCCGAGAAAATGATAGATTCATAGTATATGATTGATTTTCTTGGATTTGAATCCTTGTATAAGAAGATTCTTGATATTTAGTATCAATTCCAGGATTCATTCGATAATCTCAAAAAATTGTTTGAAATTACTACTGCTTGTACCAAGCTAAGGTACAAGCAGTAGTAATTAAATCCAAATGCAAAAACAACCAGAACATGTGTCAGATTACAATTCACGAAATATTACATTACAATCTTTGAAATTAACAGTGAAATTTTTAAACTTTACAATGGAATTGTTGAAAATGTTAATACCTGAAAATTGCTTGATAAAGTGCGTACTTAATTGGAATGCGTACTTAAGTGGGAGTCTACTGTATCTGTTTATGTTCAAATTCAAATGAAATGAGGATTTTGATTGCAATTAAAGTGAATTTTTTATATTATTATACTTTGATCTTAATCATTTTAGTCCAAAATTTGAATAAAAATCTAGATTGATTCAACATAATACGAATCTTTTTTTATATTGTTTGATTCAGTATCCAAATTTTAAGTTTTTAAGTTGTTTTTAAGCTGATGTATATATCCTGAAGAAATTATACATGATCTTTTTCATTTTGCACTAACTTTTAAACTTATCATAAATATACATGGATATGTCACCTAATTACTAATCTCAACTTTCTCAACCAGAGCTTTCAATTTTGAAAGCTGTAAAAACTTCAAAATTCTACATAATAATATAAACTCACTCAAACTTTAAGTATTTATCTATAACTAATATATAGTTTAATTTACTAAAATAAGAGCTTAGAAGAAAAATTTTTTCATGTCATTATGTATACACTGAAGAAACACTTTGCAAATATCTATCTAACATAGAATTTCAAATAGTTAAATTAAAACATCATATTATGATGTTTTAATTTAAATCAACTTTAGTCTAGCCAAATAACAAACTCATATACTGAACAAATGTCAAAAGCATATCACATTTGTATTTCATGCTAAAATGTCATAGATGAGTATTAACATAAAATAAAAAAATAACAAAAATTAACATTTGGTATAAATGAATTCATAAATGATAGTATTTTCATCATAAAATTTATGTTTTATATAATAATTTTAAAATTATTTTTCTCCCCAAACAATATATTTGTGGAGATAAATTCAAGACATATTCAATTCATGATTTTTTAATCAATTTTTGAGCAAATCATCATTTTTGAATTCAACCTACAACTTGCAACCTCTACTCTCACTCTCACTTCTTACCTCAGATGGCTATGATTCCTTTTTGCCTTCAACTCTCAAACATACTCTCACACATTACCTCCATTGATCACTCAAGTTCACACACAAATGGATACTCCAATATACTCAAAACCTCATTCTTTTATTGATGAAACAAATCTTTACAGGTGGTCGAACGGAGTTTTGGAGTCAGAGTGCGTCCAATTTTGAGTTTCAAGCTTTGAGTTTCAAGATTTGAGGCCAAGAGATTCTTACGGGAGCTGTATCTTCTACGTTCGGAGTGATCTAGAGCTGAAATTTGGTGCGACGCTGGAGTAGGGCAGGGCGCATCAGCCTGCAAAATTTCAAGCAGAACGCCATTCGAAGCGAGAAGTTGACGTGTCTTGGAGGTCTGAGCTTTTTGAGAGGGGAGGGCCGAATCTTGCAGGGGCCGTAACTTTGGGCTCGAGTGTGAACGGGGGCTGAAATTTTGTGGCGTTGTGACGTTGGGTAGAACGCTCAACCCTGTCAATTTTCAGGTCCAACGGAGTTTCAAAGTCAGAGTGCGTCCAATTTTGAGTTTCGAGCTTTGAGTTTCAAGATTTGAGGGCAAGAGATTCTTACGGGAGCTGTATCTTCTACGTTCGAAGTGATCTAGAGCTGAAATTTGATGCAACGCTGGAGTAGGGCAGGCCGCATCAGCCTGCAAAGTTTCAAGCAGAACGCCATTCGAAGCGAGAAGTTGACGTGTCTTGGAGGTCTGAGCTTTTTGAGAGGGGAGGGCCGAATCTTGCAGGGGCCGTAACTTTGGGCTCGAGTGTGAACGGGGGCTGAAATTTTGTGGCGTTGTGACGTTGGGTAGAGCGCTCAAGCCTGTCAATTTTCAGGTCAAACGGAGTTTCGGAGTCAGAGTGCGTCCAATTTTGAGTTTTGAGCTTTGAGTTTCAAGATTTGAGGGCAAGAGATTCTTACGGGAGCTGTATCTTCTACGTTCGGAGTGA